TCTCTCTCTCTCTCTCTCTCTCTCTCTCTCTCTCTCTCTGTCTGCGTGCGTGCGTTCGTGCGCGCCTCAGTCTTTGTCCGTCCATCTGTCTCTCCTAGCTGCCTCATGCGCTTCCCCTCCCTCTCCCTGTTTCCTTTGCTCACTATCTCCCTCTCACTCTCTGAATCTCTCTCGATGGAAAGAGAGCCGGAAAAAAACGAAAGTGGAAGGAGAAGGAAAGAGGGTACACGGTAACACGGGGGGGGGGGCAAGAAACAGGGGTAGATAAAGAGAGAGAGGGAGAGATAGAGGAGGAGAGAGGGACAAGAGAGATAGAGGAGTCCATATCCTGTTGAAGAAAATACACTTCACGATTTTTGAAGAAGAGACGCGAAACGAAAGTAGGCATACCGTCGATGTAATTTCATTTACTTATTTATTTATTTTTATTCATCAAATTTGAAGGCAAACATTATCTGAACTATAGACAAGTAATTGCGCATCTAATTAAAGAATGATTCTTTATCATTTTTATTTAATTGGAAACTTTCGATGGTGGTTATGGCTAAATATCTATCGTCATCATTATTTTCCCCACAGTTTCTGTTTTATATTTCCACCAGGCGCATCGATAGGGGGCATCCGACTTAAACAAGAGAACATCTTATTAACAAACATGACAGCTTCCTTGCTAACATTTGTAAATAGAACCGATTACCACCATGGGTAAGAACGATGAAGTTACTCAAGCTTTGAGATTATTATTGAATTTTATTATAACTAAAGTATCTGCGGATAATAATTCGTAAGCAATTTGTTTTTTGAGCGTACAGACCCCATTGCCATTTGTTAGAAATTGTCCCAACCGACAAGTTGGACAACCGTTCGTCGGTTTCTCCAGCGTCCACGGTCTGAGTAGTAGTACTACTAGGTAACCGTACTACTACTAGTACTAGTACTACTACTAGTACTAGTAGTAGTACTACTACTACTACTACTACTAGTACTACTACTACTACTACTACTAGTACTAGTACTACTACTAGTACTAGATACAATAATGTAACCCAAACACAGGATAGGTTTACAACGCGAGCCTATCCTTTTGTGTGGAGGAACCCCTGAGTGAATCACTCATGGCGGTTTGCTGGTGCGTTTTCAGAGACTATAACTATAAGTATAACTTCCTAACTGGGTTTATTCTCAACACGAACCTTTCTCCGCTATCCTGAAACTTACTATGTATCACAATACTCTGTATTAAACTAATATAACGTGTTACAAATGTTCCTCCACACAAAAGGACAGGCTCGCATTGTAACCCTATCCTGTGTTTGGGTTACATTATTGTATCTAACGGTCTACCTGCTACGGCACAGCCACACATCGTCCCATGCACTTAGACCGTTTCAATAATGAAATTATTGTAAATAAACAATACTGTTACTCCATCGTATGAGTGCCTGTACAAAACATTCGGTTCAAGGATATAAGAGCTGTCCCCAATGCATTTTCGCAAATGTGCGACATGTGGCGATGTGCAATGTCATGTGGACTCTTAGTCTTATAGTTATAGGCTCTATGGCGATGTGCAAATGTGCAGTCTCATAATTATATCTTTGGGCCAAACATTCTACAAGCCTTATAAATATAATTGTCTGGTTTAATAATTATTAGGGACAGATAAGACCAATCGAGATACAAGCCGGGAACATGGACAGTCGGATAGATCAAAAACCAGATTGAGTGATAGTCGTACAGCCAGTGGAGGTAAGAAAAATCGTGCTGTCCAATGTGATTTATTTTATAAATATAAACAGAAACATGACAACGTAACGGCATAAAAAGTCACTGGTATTGATTCTACTGCAACTATTGCTAATTTTAGTTTTGTTACTACTGTTGATGTGGCTAATCTAACTATTGTTTACCTTGTTTCTGCTTTTGCCCTTGCTCCCATTACTTATATCATGTTTTTTCCAAGTCTATATTGTTATACTCCTGATGCCACTGTTTTACTTCTCCTTTTATTTATATATTTGTCGTCTTTAAATATTTCTGCTTCTAATGGTATTACTGTACCACTCACGATAACTTTTATCAGACATCTTCCACCTTCCGAATAAAGTACTTAGCTAAATAATCCAATTATATGTTAATGTTGTTTGTCTGTGGTATTCCTCCATGCTGTTACCACAGTCGGCTTGAGATCAGTATAGCCTGTAAGTGCTTACCACAGACCTACTCGCACTTTTGCACGTTACCAACATTGCGAAAGTATCGTTGCAGGAAAGCCGTCATCGATCTCGAGAATAGAACATGCTTCTCGATATGCTTCTGACTCGGAGGAAGACGGGAAGCGTCGAGGGAAGCGGAAACGTCGCCATAGTTCATCCAGCAGATCATCGTCCTCATCTTCCTCATCCTCTTCCTCGTCCTCTTCCTCGTCGTCGTCGTTTTCATCATCATCATCATCTTCTTCATCGTCGTCATCCTCTTCTTGTGAAGGTACGAATCGGTATACCACCATTAAGTTTTATGCTTACTTTTCGGAGAAATGATATCTGTAGATAATTAATTATGTTTCGAATAGATGGTTACATGTATGTGACTGCATGTGTGGGGGATGAAAAAAAGATAGTAGATACGTCTCAGATTAGAGTGGGCAGAGCAGCAGCTGAGCGATTTGAAATCGTACTCTTTACAACAATCTAATAATGATTGCAGTTAATGGGAAAATGTTCTTTTAAATTACATATTAAATACTTTGTAGTTATTATTATGGAGAAATATTATGGTACTGTTTGCTAGTGCCATTGCAGTTATTTCGACTTTTCTATGATCTTAGAAAGGAAACGACGCTCGAGTACTAAGCAGAGGAAGAAGAAGAAACATCCCAGAGAGCTGAAAAGAAAGAAGACAAAACTGAAAAAGGCTGCGAAATCTCCAATGCAACTCTCCAAGGTAAGACTTGTGCTTGTTGTAGATTTGAAATAAATGTTAAATCGCTAAAAAAAATAGTTTTTATTGCTGTAAAAGCAGGGCCGTAGCCTGGGGGGGGGGAAGGGATTTGGAGATTTATAAGAGGAAAAGATTGTTCTACTAAAAGAGAATTGTCGTAGTCAGAATGAAGGCTGTACATGCACTCAAAAGTGCCTCAAATGCCATCTCCTGTGATCTACATTTTCACAATTTTCTGTGGGAGGACCCCCAGACCCCCCACCTGTTTCTCACCTCCCCTTGAAATCCCGGATCCGCCACTGCCCTCCCCCCTAGGAATCTGCTCAGCCTACGGCACTGAAAACTACTTTTAATTATTCCTTTCAGTATTTGAAAGATAAAGGTAGTGGCCACCACAGTGCTATTTCAGGGAGGAAGATTAAACTGAAAGTAAAGAAATCAAGGAAAGACAAGGAGGTGAGTGAGTATATGTAGTGTGGTTTACCCACCCAGTCTCATAAGCTTACAAGTAATTATCCTCGCATTGATTTATATCGAATACTCCGTAACTTTTAAATCTATAATTCAAGATATAACAGCAACACTGTATTGTTGCCATTGAATCTGATTTTTACAGAATTTAGTGCCCGAATCTTTTACAGTTTAGATGGTGTGCTGTAAGTTGCATCAACTCTATAGACACGAGAAGTAAAATATCATCCATACGCTGATAGTTGGAGCCCTGTGTTTTGGGTTTTTGTTAAAATATAGTAGTAATTGCACACAAATGAAATCGCCAGTGCTGTCGTTTGCAAAACTGATGTCAGGTCGATGAGTGTGTATAAACCTACTGGTGCCTCTTACATTTTGGTAAAGTAGTTTGTGCCAAACTCCAGAATTGAAATCAAGACAGTATCAGGGTTATAAATTAACTTTTGAACAAGGGAGTCCAGCCGACTCCCTGCCCTCAAAAAGAGGGAGTCCGCAGCAAAATGAGGAAGTCCGCAGTCTGAAGTTCAAAACTAAAGATATTAACAATAATGCGTGTGCTTATTTTGAAGATTCATGCAGTTGCATGTCAGCCAAAATGTCTTTGGACATTTGCTGAAAAAAATACGGCAATTCCGCGAGGCTGTGCTCCGGAACGAACTAGTTAGTATAGCAACATTTTCAGGGAGTCACACGGACTCCTGCATATGTCAAATCAGGGAGTATTTAACTCTGGACTCGCGTTAACTTCGCACCCTGCAGTATATAAGGGATAGTGCTCTTGTCCAATGTACTGTTGGTTTTAGTTCTTTCTTTTCATGTTTTAGTTGTATCTTTAATGTTCATATATCTTTTATTTTTAGAGGGAAAAGAACAGAAAACAGCTCCTGGACTTTCTCAATGAGACTGTATGACTGAGCGAAACATCTTGCATCCAGATTCACTTTGTCATGGTAGTAGAACGCAGAATTTACGTACGCACATTGTGGATCATTTTTAAGCATCGAGCGTAAGCGTGTTCCATGCAAGATAAGCATATATAAGAATGGATCACTGATATATCTTCAGACTTAATTATAATTAAGGTAATGGTTAGCAGGCCAGTTAATATTTTTACGAAATTCTGTTTATGCTTAATTATATTTCTTTACATAAGAAATCCACTATATTCCATTCGCTACCAGCGAATTATAACAGCCAGGTTAATTGTTTCTATGCTAGATAACTGTTTAACGACTATCTCTTGTTTGATGTTATGAAGAAACTGCTATAGACTACTTCCTGCAATATTGAACAATAGTGGCAGAAATTTAATGTGCATGAGCATTACCCTATATATATATATATATATATATATATATATATATATATATATATATATGTGTGTGTGTGTATGTATATGGTGGTTTTAAGTGGTGGTGTTGTTTTTTTGAAAAATGGTTGAACATGTTTGTTTGTGTATGGTATAATGTGTAGATAATAATAAACATACTTGTACAAATTCACATTTTGTACCAATAATTTTTGTTGTCATGTCAGTGGAATGAAGCATCGTGTAGCTACCAAAGATAAACCAAGTTTTCTATCTTCAATGTCTTGAAGACAAAAATCACTATCAATTTCTTCGTCTGTGTTAAATTGACGATTCAGTGATTGTATGAATAATGCGTAATATATTTCATACAGTATCCCAGCAATGTATTATGGAATGTATAATTATCTTTCTTAATTTATAAATAAAAACGTCAAAATCATTTCAACTGTCATCCACACTGATGATCTTGAAGGTTAAACTTGGTTGGACTCCCCCATCCAGGGAAGAAACCAGGACTTTTCCGTCGTGATGGTGGGGCGAGGGGCTAAATTGAAAATGAATAAGCGGAGGACAAGACTTTTTCCCTGACAGAGGATGGTCACGGTGTATAGTCCCTTGAAGAGGAATTGGAAATTGGAAGAGTACGTAATATTTGAGGTCATGAAGGACTAGGCCACTGACCTGTATTATGTATATTATATTGGTTTTTATGTTATGTTATTATATATACAGCTCCCTAAAAATACACAAGTTGTTTCTATATTTTCTGCTCCTAGATGGCGCTCGTAGTTGTATGGCTAGCACAGCCACAGGCACAGCGGCAAGATCCGCAAATCGCTATGGCTACGATATTTTGTTGACGTTATTCTTACGTTATTCGCACCGTGAAACATGTCGTAACTATCACGTAAGTAAAGTATAATGTTCTAGATTATGTAGCGGCATTCCTAATGTTTCTTACTGGGTTCATGGCGCTCAAAGTCCAAGAAGCTATAGGCACGTGGGCCGCTTCAAAAATCAAATGACAAATGTAGCTAAGTAACTTTACCCCGTAAAGCCATAGCCAGTAGCATAGGCATAGGCATATAGCCATAGCCATAGGCGTATTAGCTCCAAGAAACGGTATTGCTAGGGTTAGAATACCTATACTGTATACTGTATAGACAATCCGTCGCACAGCCTGGTCGGGCTATAGGCGTATAAGCCATTAGATACAATAATATGTAACCCAAACACCCTATCCTGCGTTTTGGTTACATTATTGTATCTAATAGTAATAATAAGCCATAGGCATATAGGAGTATAGTATTGGTATATAGATTATAGTATACAAACACATGCTAGTAGGCCTTAATAGTAAGTAAATACAAACATTTGGAATATTAGTACCATCTGCACCTCTACTTGTGCTCTCTAATCTCTATCTATTGCCTAATAATTTTAAATAAATGCCGTTAAAATACTCCATCCACAACACTCAACAGGGGTATAAATTAACTTTTGAACACGGGAGTCCAACGGACTCCCTACCCTCAAAAAGATGGAGTCCGCAGCAAAATGAGGGAGTCCGCAGTCTGGGGTTCAAAATTAAGGATATTTACAATAACGCATACATGTGCTTATTTGTAAGATTCATGCGGTTGCACGTCTGGCAAATCTTCGTTGGACATTAGCTGAAAAATACGGTAATTCGGCGAGGCCATGCTCTGGAACGAACTAATTAGTATGGCAGAATTTTCAGGGAGTCAGATGAACTCCTGCATATATGTCAAATCAGGGAGTCTTTGACTCCGGACTCGCGTTAATTTTGCACCCTGCCATTCCTGGGAGCTAGCAACACAAATAATAATAACATTGACAATAAGTCAATAACCCCAGAACATGATACGCAAACAGATACCTCTAGCAGTTATAGTGCACAACCTGTGACACAATTGGCTGCTGTACGGATTGATCTATGTACGATGACAGCCTATAGTAGAATGCGTTACATGGCAGCGGCGCTGGGCAACTATTGATTTTTCATCGTGAGCAATTTTGTGAAAGGGCAGCTGCTGCTAGAAGTGGCGCGTTCGGATTGTCTTCACGGCTGGTGATTGTGATCCAGGATACCGTTTGGGAAAATTATTCGTTTGATGGCGAAAAGACACACTTCCTAGCATAAGGTACGTGATATGTTTCCCTGTAGTTTCTACCCATGTAGTGTGTTCGTAACCGGTAGATCTCATCAGGGAAGAGAGCGCGGGCGCGAAAGAGAGGAAGGATGCGAGAGAGCGGTACGGTGTAGCCACTCGTTCGTACTGCTAATATTGCGAGCGTAGCTGATAGAGGTTTGTGTACGCGGTGGTGTGTACCATACTGTGCATGGGGGCTCCGATAGGTTTAACCATAGAGCTGAATAACAACCACGAATAGTGGTGATGAGCAGTGTGTGTGATTATTCTGATGAAACACACAGCTTGGCTACGCGTGTAAAACTTTGCTGTGGCTCTGATGCTGCTGCTTTTTGGTCCCATATGGCTATGTACGCACTCGCTACATGTATATCATGGTATTTCTGGGTATGTTGCGTGCGAATCTGGAATGCTGCGCGTCGTAGTGAAGTATCAAACTCGTCATAGTGAGAATATACACATGTAGTTTGTGTGAAATCAAGTTGTAGTACTTAGAAGCTGTGCCCATGTGTTTGCATTTCCTGTTTACTATTTCTCATATGCTAGTATATATATACTATGAGGTTTCCTGTTAGTTGAACCAACCCGCCCTGCAGGAGCCAATGTGCATAAACTTGATCTCAATAAAAATTATCACATCATGCAAAAACATTTATATAATTATTACACAGGCACACAATGAATGCAGTACTGTGCACAAGTATAGTAGGAAAAAAAAGAGCATATTCCTTGCTACCTCTGGAGTCTCTGTTTGTTAGTATTGTTACCCATGAGGTGCTGGCTAGATTTACTGCTTTGTGTGAGAGAAAACATTGACCTCCTGAATAAATATCGGCACTCACAAAAGCATATATATATATGTATATGTAGTTTCTCATCATTGGACTCAGATTCCATAATCTGCAATGCGCATCTGTGTAAATCGACAAACTTACGTCTATCCAAGTGCTCACTGACATGTATATATTATATGCATGTAAGTTTCCAGTTTATCGTAAAACTATTTTGTTACTCCGTAACCAGTTTTCTGGTTTTATAACTTTTTGTAATAGTAACGCATACGTCTAGTTTGCTGAAATAGAGAAAGTATGTTGTTTTGATGCAGAATTTCGTTTACTCCAGCCACACTAATTACATCTGGTTTTCATGGTAAATGATCAAAGCAAATTAATTACTGATACCATATAATCGCGTCATTATTAATATTATTACTAATAACGGGGACTGCGCTATCGGTTTGCTTGCTGATTTCCTCTTCCCGGGGCCCTCTAACTTATGCTAACACTGAGTAATGCTGTATCTTTGTGAACTGGGAATTACACCAAACGCTGCTTCCTGTGCATAATATACAGTGTGTGTAGCTTGCACTGTTGCCTAGTGATGCTCATAGGGTCTATGTCTCCCAGGGTACTGCCGGAACGTACCCTGGGTACGGTCCGGTATACCGGAACGTACCCTGGTCACTATTTGATATGGTTAGGGTTAGGATTAGTGTTAGGGTTAGGGTTGGGGTTAGGGTTAGGGAGTAGGCGTAGGCGACTCCCTAGACTCGTTAGTGGAGTAGGCGAGGTATGGTCCGGCATATTAGATAGTACCAGGGTACGTTCCGGCAGTACCCCGGGGGACATAGACCCTCTCAGCCCTAGTGATCATGTGGTAACTATAGCAGATGGAGTGGTTGTCGTATCAGGTACTACAGATATATGTACCCGAGGTAGTTTTAGGTTGTTTAGTATTACGTTTATATTTTTATATGAGGTATGTTTAGGGTTAGGGTTAGGGTTAGTGTTAGGGTTAGGGTACACTTCTGTAGTACAAGTCTGGTACACTTTGTGTATACATATATGTACCTCGGGTACATATCTGTAGTACCTGATACGACAACGACCCCTTGAGCTTAGCTAGTGTGTGTTGCGAAATATTTGGCAGCATTGGTAAGTACTCCGTTTTGCAATGGTTTCCTGAATATTTTAGGACGATATTAAACTGTAATAAGTGAGACTATATTGTGGTGACAGGATGTATTGAATAGCTGATGGGTAACAATAAAATATATTGGATACAAGACGTCTGGATCTATCCACTCAAACCCGCTCGAAGCACAATCAAGGATTCAACAGAAAAATATATCTACATAACTGTGTAGATTATTGGCTCATAAATGTCTACATTCGACCGAAAATCGCTAAAGATTTACGTACAAGCAGCAGGGATGCTTTTACTGCCAGTGCTTTTACTGCCAGTGCTTTTTAACGTGATGGTGGTTGTCTGAGAATGAACAATGATAATATCATATTATATTCAGTAGAACATAATCTTCGCGTTTTAAATTAGTTTCGTACGTCATGCGAATTGCAGGGAGTATAGAACGTTCTGTTGCATTCGACGGTAGAAGCGTTATTACATCGCTGCTGATGCGGTGTATTATAGGTGCATGTGTGTGAATCACGCAAATGTCGACGTATAGTCAATTAAATCCAGTAAAGTGCGAGCCTCTGACGTTACTAATGTAAATGCGTACAGTAATTACGCGTCTGTTGTTTTATATATAATATTATGTAGCCAGCTGCTAGCAACCTGTATAAGACTGGCTTATGCAGTTAGTTGTCTGCTAGGCCACATGAATGGACATTCATTAGTTGGAGAGACTGTACCACATCCATACTAAGGATACATGAGGAAACACAGTGGCCCAATTAGAACGCACAAGAGAACATAGACGCACAATAGAAACATTGGCCCAATTAGGTTTAGAATATCTTGTTACAATGTAATCAATATGAGTTTGTATGTGTCACTGTGTGAGTGGACTTGCTGACGTTAGATTTGCAAAGCTCGCATTAGAATGATCATAGAGAGGCTAACAGATTTCCCATCGTTCGGTTTAGCCTACACATAGCGATGTTCCATGTATACACGTGCATGTGTATAACAAGATTTCTCTGCGGTCGTCTCAGCTAAGCTGTGCCGTTGATCAACAGGACTTCTTGCCAAGGAACGCTATCCTGCGCCATGTAGCGTTGTCATCGTAGGCGTAGCTTCGCAGTTTAATATATTCTGTGTAATGCCCGTTTCGGGCTTTCCCTAGGCAATTATTATTGTATAACACCTTAGACTTAGAGTTAGAGTAATCATTCTGATGGTTCTGATGAAGAATTCAGAATGATCAGTGCTCCAATATAATACACCTACGATCAAGAGCTGATAATACCTAATATATATATATATATATATATATAATACGCTCCCTGAATGAACATCGAAACTACGGCTAGCTACATGTGATGCACATGCAGTATAATGTTGTGTTGAGGATGCCGTACCTGGAAGACTGTTATTAGTTGCCATGGTATTATTGTGGAGTTAAACTAATGAGGCCTCCCCCAGTGATCACGTTGGACGAGAATGCGAAGAATAAACGGACCTTGATCTAAGCAAGAAGTAGCTAGTGAATAATATTGTCTATGATGTTTGTACTAATTTGTATACATGTTGTATGTTGTACTAATATGTTGTATTCTACCAATGTTGTTGTACTAATATCTTCTAAGCTACCGAGCAGGATTGAGTGTTGGTAAGTGATATATGACCCATCTAGTTAGCTATCCATCTACATACCTGTTTGTCTGTTTATGAGTCTGTCTGTCTATCTATTTCTCTATGTTCGCCTGTCCATCTGCCTGTCCTCTTTCCCCTTCTCTTTCTCCCTCCCTCCTGCCATCGTTGCCCCTTTCTTTCTTACTATCTTCTCGCTCTCTCTCTCTCCCCGTTACTCCACCTCTCTCTGCCTGTCTCTCTCTCTCTCTCTCCCTCTCTCTCTCTCTCGCTCTCTATCTCTCTCCCCTCGTCCCCTTTCTCTTTCTCTTTCTGTTTCTTATTCTTTTTCTCTCCTTGCTCTCTCTCTCTCGCTCTCTCCCTCTCCTTCCATTCCTCTCTTTCTCTCTTTTCTATCTCCTATCTTCTTTCTCCCTCTATCTTTCCTCCTCATTCCATCTCTCTCTCTCTCTCTCTCTCTCTCTCTCTCTCTCTCTCTCTCTCTCTCTCTCTCTCTCTCTCTCTCTCTCTCCCTTCTCCCCTTTCTCTTTCTCTTTCCTCCGTCTGCCTCTCTCTTTTTCTGCCTGTCTCTCACTCGCTCTCTCTTTCTCTTTATCTCCCCCCCTTCTTTGTCTGTCCCGCTCGCTTTCTCCTTCTGTGTCCATTTCTCTCTTGAGGCACTTTTTTTCTCTCTTTCTCTCTCTCTCTTTATCCGCCTTGCCCTTTCCCTTTTCTCACTCACTCGCGCACGCACTCTCTCCGCATCTATTCTCTGTCCGAATACTGAATAAGCTGTTAGGTAATCGTGAAAAACACGCTGGAGTTTCTCTCACATCGTGTGCGAGCACTTCACGAGTACAGGCTAGATATAGTTGAAGCACACTGTGAAGAATCACAAGAAGAAGTGATGAGGTCATGAGGAGGTGATGCGGACAATAGCTGTGCGCTCTGTGTGAGACTAGTACTTACTTCAGTACACAGCAAACATGTATTTATGCGCGTTTAATACTGTCTGTATACTCACAGGCTGTGAAACTCACAAGCAACGAGAAAACTACCATATGGCTACACCTGCATGTCGCATATATACTGTATATATATATATATATATATATTATACAGTATAAATACTGTATAAGCTGTATATTTCGCGGTGGTGTAATTTTCGCGAACGCGTCCCCGACCGCGAAAATAACAACGCGCGAATCATTTATACCGAATAATACATAATTCACCGACCGCGAAATTGTCCCGCAAGTCTGAATTCGCGAAAATATCTGTACGCGAAAAATACGGCTTATACATGCAGTAGTCGATGGCCGTAACTAAGCGTGTAGTCTAAACCATTTTGTGGCGGTGCAGTAGGAAATCCCCACGCGGCTTTCACGGTATTCTAGATCGAACGAGTCTTGTTTATTTCATTATTTCTTTATTAGCTCTGTCAGATGCAGCTTGTA